GCCCCTCATCGCCCCTCCCTCTCGGCCCTCCACTCTCACTCCTGTCTCTTGGTCCTGTTCTCAGCATCCGCAGGTGGCCACTGAGCCCTGTGGCCCCTGGAAACGGCGGGCCCCAATCTCAGACCGCACCCTGCTCCGTGAGGTCCTGCACATGCTGGATGCCCTCCTGGTCCACATCGAAGGCCACCTACATCATCTAGCCACCCAGCGGCAAATCCAAATAAAGGGGACTTCCACCCAGAGTGGGTGATCAAACATGTGCCTCTCTTTGCCTGACAGCCAGGAGGGTGGGGGGGTTGGCCTGAGGTCCTGGGCCAGCTCTGTTCTCTCCAGGCCTATCTGGACCCTGTGCCCCTTTCCTACTTTTAGAGCCAGCTGATTTGGTGTCCAGGACAGGCGGGCAGGTGGGGCACAGGGTGGCTCACACTGCTCCATTGCCCCCACCAACTGACCTTTCCTCTTTAAGGATCCTACCTGCAGATACAACTGCTGCTCCGGGGTGGGCGTGGTGTATCATGCTGTAATCCCAGTGCTTTGGGAGACTGAGGCGGGAGGATCACTTGAGCTCAGCCTGGGCAACACGGCAAGACCTCATCCCTACAAAAAATACAAAAAAAAAAAAAAAAAAAATGCTGGGCATGGTGGTGTGTGCCTGTAGTACCAGCTACTCAGGAGGCTGAGGTGGGAGGATGGCTTGAGCCTGGCAGGCAGAGGTTGCAGTGAGCCAAGATTGTGACACTGTACTCCAGCCTAGGTGACAGGGCCAGAACTTGTCACAAAACAGACAAAAACTGCTCCTCTGGCCTGGTCAGTACCCGGGGACCCCTAATGTGATGGGAGAGGACTCCCATCGGGACAGAATTGGGTGGCTTAGGGAGACAGAGGAGCTGACAACCTGGCTGAGCCCTAAAGGGAAATGGGTGTGGGGAAGGGAACTCCAGGTGGAGGTCTGCTGAGCAAAGGGCACGTGCTGTATTCGGTACTCTCTGCACATGGGCAAGGTGGACAGTGCCCATGACAAACGGTCTCAAGTGCCAAGTGAGGGTCCTGGGCCTCTCCAGTGCACAGAGGGAGCCGCGGAGGGACTGGTCAGCTGGGAAGAGGATGGGGCAGTGGTGAAGCTGTAACCAGATACTAAGGATCTCTGATGGGGACTGAGAGCCCCAGGCCCCAGTCACCGTGTAGTCACCCACCATCCTTGTCACCACCTCAGGGAGGAGGTGACTTTAGTCCTGCCATCAAATAGCAGCTGGCTCTGGTTTCTTTCTTCCCAGGCCCTTCAAGGCCCTCCCCCAAGGGTCCACTGTTCTGTCTCCAATAGCAGCCCCTCCCCAGATCCCTCACTCCAGCAGCCCCAACCTGCAGTCAGGCAGGCCACCCTAGTTGCCTTTGTTTCTATGGCAGCCTCAAACATGCTGTAGTGCCTCAGTGGCCCTTGGTCCAAGGCCCCTAGAAAAGCTCCATGAAGGGACTCTTGCTTCTTAACTCCCTGCTTTCTCCTTTTTGGAGATTGAGTCTCGCTCTGTCACCCAGACTAGAGTGCAGTGGTGCAATCTCAGCTAACTGCAACCTCTGCCTCCCGGGTTCCCGAGTAGCTGGGCCTATAGGCATATGCCACCACGCCTGGCTAATTTTTTGTATTTTTAGTAGAGATGATAGGGTTTCGCCACGTTAGCCAGGATGGTCTTGATCTCCTGACCTCGTGATCCATCTGCCTTGGCCTCCCAGAGTGCTGGGATTACAGGTGTGAGCCACCACGCCCAGCTGAACCACCACTGCCCAGTCTCTCTCTCTTTTCTTTCTTTCCCCTCCTTCCCTCTCTCCCTCCCTTTTTTCTCTTTTTTTTTGTTATTTTTTTCCGTTTTATTGACCAACTCAAGCAATCCTCCTGCCTCGGCCTCCCAAGTAGCTGAGACTACAGGCATACATCACCACATCCAGCTAAATTAAATATATGTGTGTGTGTGTGTGTGTGTGTGTGTGTGTATTTTTTTTTTTTTTTTTTAGAGATGGGGTCTCACTATCTTGTGCAGGCTGGTCTTGACTCCTGGTGTCAACTGATCCTTCTGCCTTAGCCTCTCAAAGTGCTGGGATTACAGGCATGAGCCACAGTGCCTGGCCCAGGTTCCTGTTTTAGAAAAAGAAAACAGGGCCGGGCGTGTTTTCTTTATCTTTACAGGCTTACGCCTGTAATCTTTGCACTTTGGAAGGCCAAGGCAGGTGGATCACCTGAGGTCAGGAGTTCGAGACCAGCCTGGCCAACATGGTGAAACCCCATCACCCCCCCCAAAAAAAATAGAAAAAATGTTATGAATTCAAAAATGGAAGTGAATTAAAATAATGAAAAAATAAATGACAAAACTTTTTTCTTGAAAACTTTTTTTAAAAATTGACAAATACTAAATCCAGAAAAATAACATAACTTGTGGCAACTTCCTGACATATTTCTGTAATACTTTGGTCCCCTACATAGTCTGGCTTCTTACTCTGAAGACCTCTACATAGGACAAGTATTTTGTGATTTTCGGGGGAGATATTTTCCATACAGAGAAAAGATAGTTCAGTCTTCCTCCTAACATGGTTGAAACTTGTGTTCTAATTATTGATAGTTTAGAAAAGTTAAAACTTCCTCTGGGCGCGGTGGCTCGAGCCTGTAATCCCAGCACTTTGGGAGGCCGAGGCGGGTGGATCACAAGGTCAAGAGATTGAGACCATCCTGGTCAACATGGTGAAACCCCGTCTCTACTAAAAATACAAAAAATTAGCTGGGCATGGTGGCACGTGCCTGTAATCCCAGCTACTCAGGAGGCTGAGGCAGGAGAATTGCCTGAATCCAGGAGGCGGAGGTTGCGGTGAGCCGAGATCACGCCTCTTCACTCCAGCCTGGGTAACAAGAGCGAAACTCCGTCTCAAAAGAAAAGTTAAACTTCCTAGCCTGTTGTTGATGGTGCCATGTAAATGTTCTGGATTGTTGTCAAATTTGAGAAACTGTCATTAGCCTTCTTTCATATAAGAACTGTGAAATTTGGAAGAATTTCCCACAGATGAACTTCTGGTTCCACACATTTCAAATCTTATTTTCCTTCCACGGCTCACGGTTTTCCCAGCACTGGATGCCGTGGGGCATGTCCTTAAGGCAATAGGACTTTGCACTTCTGTCGCAGGATTTTCGTACGAGCCACGTTCCTAGTTTATTCTAGGACAAGACCAACAAGCTAACTTTACACAAGAGTGGAGCAAACCACATAAATATGTTCCTCTAAACCCGATGTGTCCCTGTGGTAGACTCACAGATATGCCACACGAAGGCCAGCTGCCAGCTGCTGTGGGGAGGGCCAGCAGACAGGTCCACTCTGGCTGTGCAGAGCCCCTATAGCCAGACTTCTTTGCCCAACCCTTTCCCTCCCTCCCTCAGGTGCTCGTCTCAAGAGACTCTTGTAAATATCTTGTACTCTGATCTTCCTCTTGGAGTCAGATTCCCAGAGAACCCAACCTGGAACCATCCTCAACTCACCTTTCCCTTGGCTGGACCCCGAAAATGCCACAACCTCTCTGATGTCCTCCAAGTGAGAAGTGGGCTGGAGTCAAGGACAGAGGTCCGAAGTGAGTGCTGTTAGATGGCTGTGTTTTTTGGGTTTTTTTGAGATGTAGTTTCGCTCTTGTTGCCCGGGCTGGAGTGCAATGGCACGATCTAGGCTCATCCCAACTTCTGCCTCCTGGGTTCAAGCGATTCTCCTGCCTCAGCCTCCTGAATAGCTGGGATTACAGGCATACGCCACCACGCCCAGTTAATTTTTTTGTATTTTAAGTAGAGATGAAGTTTAGCTGTGGGCCAGGCTGGTATCCAACTTCTGACCTCAGGTGATCCACCCACCTTGGCCTCCCAAAGTGCTGGGATTACAGGTATGAGCCACTGTGCCTGTCAATTTTTGTATTTTTAGCAGAGACAGGGTTTCACCATATTGACCAGGCTGGTCTCAAACTCCTGACCTTGTGATCTGCCCACCTTGGCCTCCCAAAGTGCTGTGATTATAGGCATGAGCCACTGCGCCTGGCCTATTTTTAAACTTATTATTTTTTAATGTACAGCAAAATACAATCAGGAGAATTTTTTTTTAAGAGGTCAATCTCTACTAAAAAGAAAAACAAAAAACCAAAAATTAGCCAGGAGTGGTGGCATGTGCCTATAATTCCTGCTACTTGGGAGGCTGACAGAGGCAGGAGAATCACCTGGGAGGCAGAGGTTACAGTGAGCTGAGACTGAGCCACTGCACTCCAGCCCAGGGGACAAGAGAGAGTTTGTCTCTCAAAAAAAAAAAAAAAAAAAAAGACAGGGTCTCATTATGTTGTCCATACTGATCTCAAACTCCTGGACTCAAGTGACTCACTTCGGCCTTCCAAAGTTCTGGGATTGTAGGCATAAGCCAGTGCAGCTCGCTGAAAAAGATTTTGACAGCAAGTATCCATCAGAAAGCCCAGGCATTGGAATTATTAATCAAAAACAATAAATCAGCTCTCTTAATATGTTCAATGAACTAAGGGAAGCCATGGACAAAGAACTAAAGGAAATTAGGAAAATTATGTCTGAACAAAAAGAATATTAATAAAGGAATAATTTTAAAGGGACCAAACAGAAAATCTGAACCTGAAAATATAGTAACTGAAATGAAAATTTCACTAGAGGAAATTCAGCAGCAGATTGGAGCAGGCAGAAAGAATAAAGGATCAGGGAACTTGATAACTGAGGCCAGGCGCCGCAGCTCACACCTGTAATCCCAGCACTTTGGGAGGCTGAAGTGGGCAGATCACCTGAGGTCAGGAGTTTGAAACCAGCCTGGTCAACATTGTAAAACCCCATCTCTACTAAAAATGCAAAAATGAGCCTGTGTGGCGATGTGCTCCTGTAGTCCCAGCTACTCAGGAAACTGAGGCAGGCAAATCTCTTGAACCCAGGAGGCAGAGACTGCAATGAGCCAAGATCAAGCCACTACACTCCAGCCTGAGTGACAGAGCAAGATTCTATTTCCAAAAAAAAAAGTCACTAAGGACCCGCCAGCATGGGCCATGATCGCACCAAAACCGTGAAGAAGGCGGCCCGGGTCATCATAGAAAAGTACTACACGCGCCTGGGCAACAACTTCCGTACAAACAAGCGCATGTGTCAGGAGACTGCCATTATCCCTAGCAAGAAGCTCTGCAACAAGATGGCAGACTATGTCGCGCATCTGATGAAGCGGATTCAGAGAGGCCCAGCAAGAGGTATCTCTATCAAGCTGCAGGAGGAGGAGAGAGAAAGGAAAGACAATTGCGTTCCTGAGGTCTCAGCCCTGGATCAGGAGATCATTGAAGTAGATCCTGACACAAAGGAAACGCTGAAGCTTTTGGATTTTGGCAGTCTGTCCAACCTGCAGGTCACTCAGCTTACAACTGGGATGAATTTCAAAATGCCTTAGGGACCTGTTTGAATCTTTTCTGCAATGCTGTATTATTCTCAATAAACTTAGGACAACAGCCAAAAAAAAAAAAAGATAATCAAAATGCTCTAATGGTATACTTCAAAAATCAAACACCAAAAAAGAAAAAAAGGCAGTAATGGAGGAATAACAAAATATAAGATATACAGAAAAGCTAAACAGCAGAAGCAAATCATTTGTCAGTAGTAATCTCATTAAATGTAAATAGATTAAACTCTCCTATTTAAAAAACAATTTTCAGATTGGTTTTAAAAAAAGGTTAATCTATATGTTGTCTACAAGAGACTCACTTCAGATACAAGGACACAAAAACACTGGAAGTAAAATGATGGAAAAAATATTTTATGGCCAGATGTGGTGGCTTACGCCTATAATCCGAGCACTTTGGGAGGCTGAGGCAGATGGATTGCTTGAGGAGTTTGAGACCAGCCTAGGCAACATGGCAAAACTCCATCGCTACAAAAAAAAAAAAAAGAAAAAAAAAATTAGCTAAGCATAGTGGTGTGCACCTTTAGTCCCAGCTACCTGGGAGGCTGAGGTGGGAGGATCACTTGATCTTAGGAAGGTCAAAGCTGCAGTGAGTCATGATCAGGCCACTACATTCCAGCCTGAGTGACAGAGAGTCAGACTTTCACAAAAATAAATAAATAAATAAAAAAGAGGCCAGGCGTGGTGGCTCACACCTGTAATCCCAGCAGTTTCAAGGCTGAGGCGGGTGGATCGCCTGAAGTTAGGACTTTGAGACCAGCCTGACCAACATGGAAGACCCTGTCTCTACTAAAAATGCAAAATTATCCAGGTGTGGTGGTGCATGCCTGTAATCCCATCTACTTTGGAGGCTGAGGCAGGAGAATCACTTGAACCTGGGAGGCAGAGGTTGTGGTGAGCTGAGATCATACCTTTGCACTCCAGCCTGTGCATCAAGAGCAAAACTTCGTCTCAAAAAAAAAAAAAAAAGCCAGGCATGGTGACTCACGTGTAATTCCAACACGCTGGGAGGCCGAGGTGGGTGGACCGTGAGGTCAAGAGACCGATACCATCCTGGCCAACATGGTGAAACCTGTCTCTACTAAAACTACAAAAATTAGCTGGGCATCGTGACATGTGCCTGTAGTCTCAGCTACTTGGGAGGCTGAGGCAGGAGAATCACTTGAACCCAGGAGGTGGAGGTTGCAGTGAGGGGAGATTGCACCACAGTACTCCAGCCTGGCAACAGAGCAAGACTCTGTCTCAAAAAAAAAAAAAAAAATAGAGATCATGTTCAGGTGTGGTGGCTCATGCCTGTAGTCCCAGCACTTTGGGAGGCTGAGGCAGGACAATCACTTGAGCCCAGAGTTTGAGACCATCCTGGGCCACATGGTGAAATCCTGTCACTACAAAAAATATAAAAGTTAAGTTAGCTGGGTGTGATGATGTGCACCTGTGGTCCCAGCTACTCAGGAGCCTGAGGCAGAAGGATCACTTGAGCCGGGGAAGTGGAGGTTGCAGTGAGCCAAGATCCTGTCACTGCACTCTAGCCTGAGCAACAGAATGAGACTCTGTCTCAAAAAAGAAAGAAAAATAAAGAAATAGAGATCACAAGACTGAGTGAATGAACTCTTTGTAGCAATAAGATACCAAAGCATAAACAAGACCTAAGGCCATGCCAGGCAAGAGTTAAGTCATTCGCCCTGACACTTAAAGAATAAACTGGCCGGGCGCGGTGGCTCAAGCCTGTAATCCCAGCACTTTGGGAGGCCGAGGCGGGTGGATCATGAGGTCAAGAGATCGAGACCATCCTGGTCAACATGGTGAAACCCCGTCTCTACTAAAAATACAAAAAATTAGCTGGGCATGGTGGCGCGTGCCTGTAATCACAGCTACTCAGGAGGCTGAGGCAGGAGAATTGCCTGAACCCAGGAGGCGGAGGTTGCGGTGAGCCGAGATCGCGCCACTGCACTCCAGCCTGGGTAACAAGAGTGAAACTCTGTCTCAAAAAAAAAAGAATAAACTATTTTCTAACTGCTGCAAGCGTTTTCTTTTTCTCCAGCAGCTAACCAAGCACTGGACTTGAGATAAACAATATGGAAACAGTTGCAGTTCATCCATCACCAAACACTGACCCCACTCCCTGTTCCACAAGCCGTTAAGTATGGCTTTGATTGGACAAGAGACTGATTTTGATGACTTTTTCCTGATAGGAGACCACTGACCAGGGACTGGCTTTAGCTGGTTTATGGAGCCTGTGCACTGAGTGCTTTTGTATCCCTGCTTCATATTTTGACATATCGGGCTAATTGCAACACATTTAAATGTTAAGTCTCCACCCCAAAGTGAACATGGGTCATATGCAACACACATGTTTATTCAGTATACTTGCATTAGGACCCCCTTCATGAGTATCCATAGCTCCTCCTGTAACCTGTTGAATATGCTTTTTTTTATTTTTATTTGAGATGGAGTCTTGTTCTATCGCCCAGGCCAGAGTGCAGTGGCACAATCTTGGCTCACTGCAACCTCTGTCTCCCACGTTTAAGCAATTCTCCTGCCTCAGCCTCCTGAGTAGCTGAGATTACAGGCTTGTGCCACCATGCCTGGCTAATTTTTTGTATTTTTAGTAGAGACGGGGTTTCACTGTGTTAGCCAGAATATTCTCAATCTCCTGATCTCGTGATCCGCCTGCCTTGGCCTCCCAAAGTGCTGAGAGGTGTGAGCCACTGCACCTGGCTGAATATGTATGTTTAGCCAAGCCATTCTACATAAAGCTCCTGCCCCAATCCCTCTTCTTTTGAAGGGCCTGTCTCTGGTTTTGAATAGAGGCCTGATTCCCAGCCTGCAGGTTTGTAACCCTTTATAAGAAATGAAGTCAGCCTGGCATGGTGGCTTACGCCTGCAATCCCAGCACTTAGGGAGGCTGGGGCAGGAGGATTACTTGAGCCCAGGAGTTCAAGATCAGCCTAGGCAACATAGTGAGACCCCTGTCTCTACAAAAATTTTTTAAAAAATTATCCGGGTGTGGTGGTGTGAGCTTGTGGTCATGGTGCCTGACCTGATTTTTATAAAGATAGTTTTATTTTAATTACAAGAGTAGTTTTTTAGTAAGATGTCGTGGCTCACCCCTGTAATCCTAGCACTTTGGGAGGCTGAGGCAGGCAGATAGCTTCAGGCCAGGAGTTTGAGACCAGCCGGCCAACATGGCAAAACCGCATCTCTACTAAAAATACAAAAAATTAGCTGGGCATGGTGACATGTACCTATAGTCCCAGCTACTTTGGAGTCTGAGGTGGGAGAATTGCTTGAGTCCAGGAGGTCAAGGCTGCAGTGATCTGAGATCGAGTCACTGCACTCCAGCCCCGAGGACAAAGTGAGACCTGTCTCAAAAAAAAAAAAAAGAAAAGAAAAGAAAAAAGGAAAAAAAAAGTAGTTTTTGGAAACATAACAAATATGGAAGCAAAATAAATAATATGTATCTGTAAGAGGAAAAAGAATTCTGAGGTATGCTTTGTTATGTTAACTAAAGAAAAATCAGGCTTTTAAATATTTAAAGTTAGTTCTATTCAGAAGTGTTATGAGAACTGCAACCCGGGAGAGCCTCTCAGGGAGTTTTTGCTAGACTGCTCCAAAACAGTGTTTCCGACATAGCTTATACACTGGTGTTGGTGGCTCTCCAACTGCTCAGAAGTTACATTAGAGGAAAATCTCATCAAGGTTTGGGTGTGAGAGTACATCTGGTTATAGGTTACAGAAGCATAATCATTAATCCTGTCAGGCAGTATCTTAGGTATAGGAAGAGGCAAGGGCTAGGATCATTGAATTTACCTTTTTTTTTTTTTTTTGAGACGGAGTTTCGCTCTTGTTACCCAGGCTGGAGTGCAATGGCACGATCGTGGCTCACCGCAACTTCCGCCTCCTGGGTTCAGGCAATTCTCCTGCCTCAGCCTCCTGAGTAGCTGGGACTACGCCACCATGCCCAGACACGCGCCACCATGCCCAGCTAATTTTTTGTATTTTTAGTAGAGACGGGGTTTCACCATGTTGACCAGGATGGTCTCGATCTCTTGACCTTGTGATCCACCCGCCTCGGCCTCCCAAAGTGCTGGGATTACAGGTTTGAGCCACCGCGCCCGGCCCGAATTTACCTTTTCTAAAGGTGTAGTGATCCAGGCAAGAGATGGGAGCCTGTGCTCTATTCTGCTTATTATCTTCAGGGCATTTTTCCAGAGGGCTATGCTCTGGATTCACTGAGCTAGGGGCTTTGTTAAATTCTGCTGGCAATCAGAATGAGGATTTTTTTTTGCAACGGAGTCTTGCTTTGTCACCCACGATGGAGTGCAACGGTATGATTTTGGCTTGCTGCACCCTCTGCCTCCTGGGTTCAAGCCTCCTGAGTAGCTGGGATTACAGGTGCATGCCATGCCTGGCTAATTTTTGTATTTTTAGTAGAGATGGGTGTCACCATGTTGGTCAGGCTGGTCTCGAACTCCTGACCTCGTGATCCAGCCGCCTCGGCCTCCCAAAGTGCTGGGCTTAGAGGCATGAGCCACCATGCCCAGCTGGGAAACATGGCTTCTTATGTTTACTACTTTGTCAAACAGTTATTTCAAGAGTAACTTTTTTTGCAAAAATTAAAAAATCTGCTTGAAAATAATACAGAAGTGTAAAAATGAAAAAATGATAGCCTCCTTTCTCTTCCCCTCAATCTTTTTTTTTTTTTTTTTT